CAAATAATGATGATGATGATAATAATAATAATAATAATACATGTTTCTTGAGCAGCAAATCAGCATATTAAAATTATTTATGAAGGATCATGTGACACTGAAGACTGGCGTAATATCTGCTGAAAATTCATCTTTGCCATCACAGAAATACATTTAATTTTTAAAATATATTAAAATGGAAAACAGTTCAAATTGTTAAAAAAATATTTCACAATATCTATTTATGCTGTATTTTGTATCAAATATCTATCTATCTATCTGTCTGTCTGTCTGCTATTGTTAGTTCTATAATAATAATAATTTTATATTATTAATTTAATGGTAGCACTTTACTATAAGGATCAATTTGTTAACATTATTTAATGCATTTACTAACAATGAACAACATTCATTTTATTGCATTTATTAATTAAGGCAAGTATTTATTTGCAAATTTACTGTTTTTCATTGTTCATCTATATTTGCTCATAATACATTCATATTCATTCATTCAAGTTGAATGATACCTAGTGCATTAACAAATTTGAACCAATTGAACCTTACTGCAAAGTGTCACCATCATAAAATTTGTGTGTGATTTGCATGAGAATGAAAAGTTTTGTTATACGACAGGAGGTGACGGGAGATTTGAGGTGGACAGGAAGAACGGTTATGTGCGGACGACAGGCCTCCCCCTGCAGAGAGACAGAGAATACCAGCTCACAGTGGTGGCTGCTGATCGGCAGAGCAGCCGCAGTCCTCCCGCTGTAGTGTCCATCATCGCTGGCCCTAGAGCTCCTCAATTCACCAACGTGTCTTATACAATTTCCATACCAGAAAATACACCAGAAGGCCAACCGTGAGTAAATCCAAAACACACACACACACATAAACACACACCCAATCTCGTAAATGCAGCAAATCTTATTTCCATAGTGTAATTCTAGCACGCCCTAAATGCATCTCCCACGCCGTGAGAACACCGCTTATCCATCAGGGTAACAGATAGAAACAGGATCATGCTGCACTTACAGCCATCCGTGCGCCCTCTGCTTCTCGCTGGAGCGTAGCTTGTGTGAGTCATCGTGTACTACTTGATGCAAAATTCATGAAATAATGATCTTTGACTATGTCAGGGTACTGTGATATGCATTAAAGATGCATTAACATCATAACTTTGTTCTGCTCGTATAGACAGCCGTGAGAGGTTAACCATGCGTTACACCAAGTAATGTATATGATAAAAGCCTCTCTTTTTTTGTAGTTTAATTATTTATTTATTTATTTATTTTAATTTGCTCCCACATATAGATGACAAATGGACCCTTTATTACTTTGTCTTTGTGCAGTCAGTGTTAATAGTTTAGCCCTTTGATATTAGATGAGTCACTGAGAAATGACTTGCATGATGCTGCTACAGGGAAGAATGATTAGTCGTGCCCTACACAGATGTATTAAATCAGGCTTTGCCTTGTAGCAAATTATCCTAAATCCATGTGGAATAAGTGCCTACTAGATCCATTTATGGCAGCTGCATGTCATTAAATATGCATTGCATGCTGCGGTATATTATTTTCCTCATACACACCTGTGATTGCACCATATTGTTGCTTTTATTAAACTTAGACTTGGCATGACAGGCAGATCTTACTGAATGTGGTTGGCTTCATCCATAGCTATACAAAAATACGGTTAATGTTAGGATAAGTATATTGCTCATGGCACCAAAGTGGGGTGACGTTAATCTTATCCTCAAACGTTCTGGTCTCTGCCAGACAGCAGAGATAGACCAAGCCAACACGCAACCTCTGCCAATGGGGATGGAGTTGTAATAACCACAATACCTGAAAAGCTTCTTTGGGATTACCAAAATACATTAATGTCAATCTTGACTGCATGATTATCAAAATTTTGCCCTTATTTACTAGTTTCTGAATATATAAAACAACTGAAAAATGGCAAATTATGAAGTGAAAAGCTCCCATACATGAATTATATTATTTAACAGACTGTTTTTGTTTTTGAGAAAAGCTCATAAAATGTTCAGTTATTTTCATATAAAATATTAGGCTATAGGCTTTGGTTAGTTACATAAGAAGAAGAAGAAGAAGAAACTTATATTCTGATACCTGGTCTTATCCCAAAGTTGTGTATCATTCAAATGATACACATAAACGATAAAAGGCACTTTAAAAAAAAATGAACTGAGTGCCGTGCATTATTCTCCACATCTAGCACAATCTGAACCCTAAACACGTTTTGTCAAAACAGCCGGTTTTGTCCTCTTTCAAGGCACCGCGAGTTCACGTTTTACAGCAGAAGCCGACAAGTGCCCTTGTTGTTTTTGAACAGAAGCCGATAAGTCAATTTTAGCTAATCAGCGCGCTGTATTCAGGTCAGGTGACTGCTAGTCACTTTGAAAAGACGCGCTAGCTGAGAGGAGTGTTGTCAAAGATGACTAAAAGTGATCAAGGATGGATAATTTCAACGAACTTGAGGAAGCCGTGATATCTTCTTCGGGGTGTAAAAGTTAAATAAAAGCTGAAACTTTTTCACGGAACCTTGCAAAAGCAGCGCGTTACAATGGTGAGGGAAAAGCTGCTCCCTGTATTGCGTGTAATCACAACCATACAGTCTATGATCACAACAACAACGTTTGTCAGACGTCTACATTGTCATCTGTGGAGATTAAAAAGAATAAACGAGTGTTTTTGCTTAACTCTGAAACATGAAATGTGGAGTTATCTGCTTTTGCCAGTAAACGACTGTTGGAGTTATCTGCTTTTGCTATAGACCAATTTCAGTGTTTGGCAAACAGTGATGACGTTTTTTTGTGGGCAGAGCCTATCTGGTGGCATAAAATGCCAGTTTTAACGTAGTAGTGATGGGAAGTCCGGTTATTTTCTGCGAACCGGTTCTTTCGGACATTTCGTTTCAATGAACCGGTTAAAAAAACGGTTAATTTCAAAAGAAACGGTTCTCGGTTCAGTGTACTGGTGATTCGAGAGCAGTTGACTTGAGAACCGCTGTAGCAGTACCGTTCGTTCGGTAGTACACGCATGCTCAGTATATATGCTCATGCTCATCGGTTCTCTCAGTCTGCACAGCATGTTTCAGTGCTGTTGGAGTTACAGGAGTAACGAATACTCTGAGATATTGGTTTATTTCGAGTCGTAGGGACTGTAAGGCATGTCTGAAAGTGAGAAACTTTAGAAAATTGTGGATCAGTGCCGACTTGAGATGCGAACTGTTTTGTACGATTCAGTCCGATTTGGTGAACCGGTTCGACCGGTTCACTAAAAAGAACCGGTTCAAAAGAACGATTCGTTCGCGAACCGGACATCACTATAACGTAGCAGTCTATACAGAAGCCATGGAATAAAATAATAAAAAAGGTAATTTTGAGTTTATATGTCAAAATTCTGACTTTTTTCGTGCAATTCCGAGATTATAGCTCACAATTCTGGTAAGAAAAATCAACTCGTCATTCTCTCTTTTACCCTCAGCTCAGAATCATGAGTTTATATCACACACTTATGGCTTTTTTCCCTCAGAATGGACAAACTCGCAATTGTTGAGTTGAATCAAGTTATAAAGTCTGAACTAGGAGATATAAACTTGCATTTGCAAGAAATAAAGTCAGAATTGTGAGATAAAATAGGTAAATGTCATGTAAGATGTTATAGGTTTAAATAGTATCTCATGCTTTAACTGTAGGGCTAATACAATATGTCCACTATGTGAATAATATGTAGATCTATTGTTTAAATCAAATGCATGCTTTAAAAGTAGGGTAATCATAGCAGGTTTCATCCATAGTTTTATATAAAAATTATTTGCATTCCGATTCTGACATCCAAAGGCACAACAATACATTTTTTCTCTTATTCCATCGATTTTACCCATTTACCTCCACTTGTTACCAGTGTTTTTCTGCCACCACAATGCGCACGCAGCTGCATGCAGGGGCGTAAATTTCGTCTAACAGTAGGGGGGGGGACAATAAACATAAAAATTCTCAAGAGCGATATTTGAAGGGGACACAAGGCGTAGCATATTTTCTTAGCGATATATGCTATTTACACTAAGTGAAGTATTTGTTTTGTGATATGCTATTTACACTAAGTGCAAATAGCTATACTATATTAAAATAGCAGGATATTCTGCTAATTACTTATTGCCAATAGTGGCAGTTATCTGCACCTCAGCATTGTAAACAGTATGCAATAATAACTTATTGAGTGTAAATTTGAATTTTAATTCAAATTATTAAATGGATGGCACCTTATTGGGACAAAAGCCCTCCCTACACCTACCCTAACCGATACTTTTTCAACTTTTTGATTATTTCCTTCATTTTTATTAAAAAAATAAATGCTTTTCTGATGTGATTTGAAATTTGAAAAGGGAGAAAAAAAGTTGGCCAAAAGACAGATTCGAACCCGGGTCGATCGCGTCAAAACATGCGTTTTACCATTTGCGCCACTGGAACTGACAACTACTATCTGTCTTTTGTAATGCTGACTATAATGGATGGAGTTTATGTAATAGTCTGCCAACAATTTTTTTTTATTCCCAACAGTTAAACAGTTGCCCACAGAAAAAAAAACGGGGGACAAAAAAATATGCTGCAGCACCCCCACTTCCAGCGCTTATGATGTATACACAGAGTAATGGCTTACTACTATTAGTGCAGCAGGGAGACCGTGCCAAATTAGACAACTCCAAGCTGTTGTGGTCGCGCCATGACAGCGCTCGTGTCCGTTGTATCCGTCACAGTGTTGCGAAGTCCGCGGTTTTCCCGTGGAATTGGGCTACTTTATCACTGTTGCTGCGGGTTGTTTTTCATGTCAGCGGGTTGAAGCGACACCAATAACGTGTATTTTAGCCCCCAGAACGTGATTTTTACCGGGGGACTCCTCGAAACGCAGTTAGTTTTGAGTAGCAATTGGACGGGTTTTGTTATGAAAACCTGGCAACCATTCCCCTCAAGCAGGTAACGTTATTATTGCTAACATAGCGGATTTATCGAAAAATACATTGGCATCATCTGTGTGTGTGTAGGGGATGTAAAAGAGGAAAGCAGGCCTTTGGACCAAAGTGAGGCCAGGGAGGGGGAGACTCAAAATGTTTCTAAACTTAAAACGCATTTTTGCCCCGTTCGTGTTGTTTTACTACTTACAATTGATTAAAGTATAAAACTTTGTTATTTACAATGCAGAGAGTGGTTTTTAATCATATTTTTAGGGGGGACAACCCTCAGATAGGTCCTTTGCTTGAACTTTTCCTGAGGCAGCAAATCTTGAATTTGTAGAGAATTTACTGAGAACATATTAAGAATTTTGTGTCCCATGGCAATTTGTGATTTATCATTTAATGCTTATCCTAGACTAATAAATGCAGCAATATTTTCATTCTCATTGCAATCAACTATAACCTCTCACTGCTAACTTGATTTGTAAATATTTGTGTGTTTTTCCTACTTTGATACGGCTTAAAATGTCATGAAATTTCAGAGATACACTTTAATTGCTAAGTTTTATGTTTTCATTGTCTAAGTCTAGACACTGGTCATGATTTGACCCAGTGAGTAAAACACAGAGAGAATGAAACTGATAATAACAGTGATCTGGAAGACAGATGCACCTTCAATGAAAATCACAATAGAGTATTTTTTAAGCATCAGGATGAAACTAAGTGAGAGGTATTTGATCTATGTCATCCGAAATGAGGAGAAAAACTTTTCCATTTCCGCTTGCTTTCTTCAGTAATGGGTTTGTTTTGCTCCCAATATGTGATAACCAGCACAATACCATATGTTCTTTGATGCTGTGTAATTGTAAATTGTTTATTCTATATTTACACAAGATCAATGAGCCTGTGGTGAATCTCTTACCTGCTGTACCTATTTCCATTTATCTTTCCATTTATTTCCTCAACAGACATTCCATAACTTACCCACATTCAGTTACGACCAAATGTGTGTAAAGATATAATGCATTCACCTTGGAAGTTGGATTGATGGAAACGTATATTTAAAGGGTTAGTTCACCCCAAAATGAAAATTCTGTCATTAATTACTCACCCTAATGTCGTTCCAAATCCGAAAGACCTTTGTTCATCTTTGGAACACAAATTAAGATATTTTTGATGAAACCGGAGCGCACTCTGACCCTCCATAGACAGCAACGCAACTGTAATGTTCCCAGGTCCAGAAACGTAGCAAGGACATCGGTAAAACAGTCCATGTGACATCAGTGGCTCAACTTCAATTTTGTGATGCTACGAGAATACTTTTTGTGCATAAAGAAAACAAAAATAATGACTTTATTCAACAATTCTTTTCCCCAGAGTTACCGTCTTCCGCCATTTTAGAGAGTATCACAATGGCATACGCACGCTTTCCCCTAAGTGTAAACAACGCTAATTACACAGATTACGTTCATGCGCGCACTTTCCCCCCGAACTGTCAGGGTTCTGTCACTTCGGTCTAGTGTAATTCATGGTTTTGTGACAGAGCCCTGACACTCCCATCATGTCATTGTTTTCATGTGAGCGTGCGTCGAGTTCGCTCGGCCGTGCGTTCTTCTGTCCACGTGTGTTGTGTTTTGTGTAGCACGCGGTTTGTGTTCTTTTCTTGTTGTCTTGTGTTGTTGTTGCACACAGCTCGTGTCATTGGCTGCGTGCTTTCATGTCCTGTTTTGTCTTGTGCTGTGTAGCACGCAGCTTGGTTTTTCGCTGGCTGCGTGCTATCTTGTCTTATGTGAACACGCGGCTTATGAGTTTTGACCAGCACCGCTACCTGCTGCTGGTGCGGGCCAGTGAGAATCAGGACAGTCTCAGCAGTGCTGCCGAGGTGAGTGCTCTCATATGCTAATGATTGATTTATTTTGTAGCTTTAGTGCTTACATATTTGATACATAATAGATTTTTATAGTTTGTTTTTAGAATTTTAGTTTCTATATTTCTAAAACATCAACATTTTTATACAGCTTTACAGATTGTGTTCAGAGTTTGGCTAGAAAATGGTTCATTATCTCTTGGTTCACAAGACTATCTTCATTGCTTCCAGAGTAAGATCTAATGAGTGATATATAAAAGGTTTTTGCTCGGAATGAAAAGTATAGTAGTGGAAATGTATTCATTAGGTAGTTTATGGGGGAAAAAACATGAATATTACAGTATAATGACTGGCAAGAAGACTGCTGAAAATAATCTTCAGTATTATGTATTTTTTCGAGGGAATTTGACTTCAATAGAAATGTAATAGATATAGCAGTTAAATAAACGTGTAGTGGAAAAAGGTGACTGATGATATTTGCAGTAACAACTGTTATAATTTTTCATCATAAGTGATTGTTTGATGGTAAGTGATTCATGTCATTCACACATCCACAGACAACTACTTGCATGATTTCAAGGACTTGTATGATTCTGGCTGTCCATTCACAGAAATTTTTAATGCAAAAACTATGTGGTTTGATATATATATATATATTAGGGATGCACCTATACTACTTTTTCCAGTACTCGCCCGATACCGATACATTTATTTTTGGTACTTGCCGATACAGAGTACCGATACCAATATTTTCATTGCATTTGTACATTTTTTACATATTGGGTACAGAAACCAAAAGGGTATGTATAATGTTAGTTGGTTAACTTCATTTATCAAATAGATACAGTCAAAC